TTTATTAAGTTTTAAGGTTTTAAAAGCAATGTTTCAATCATGCCTTTTTTTTTTCACATCTTGCCTAACTATCATGCAAGGTAATTTTAATCTTAACATTAAAAATACTTTTTATGCATAAGAAAATTTTGAAATTTGACATGCAAAATCTTTATAATGTTCAAATAGTTATCAAATGTTTCTCAAGAAAAAACTTTATACTTTATCTGTTATTTTCAGTAATTAATCTCTGTACGGGTTCAGTAAATTTGACCAATCTCGCAACCACCATAAAAAATTAGGAAATAAATATAAATTATGCACCTTTCATTCTAGAATGAACACAGATTATAACACGTAAACATAAATCTCAAATTACCGATATTGACAAGCTAGAATATAAAATAAGAGCCTTTTATCTTTTCAATTTGCTGAGATATTGCTCATGTAATAAATCAAACACAGTAGCTCCCCACTCACCTCTTTCCATTTTTGGAAATGCTCCCTTATATACACTTACTTCTATATATGATATGAATAACCAATTGGAAACTCAGAATGTCCCCTAGTGGCTTTCTCAGCCATTTTAATGGGCTTGGTGTCATTTCTTTCTTTTGAACCAATATTTCAATGAGGTAGGGTGTGTTTTTAGTCTGCTCAAAATTCCATATCTTTTTCTACTAAATTACATCTTAGTTACTAAGCTTGATAAATTATAGAGGAATTCTATGGTATTAATGTAGTAATTTATGATTTTTTGAGTTTTTCAAATGTATATATAAAAAACCTAAAAAATATATTTTGTTTCATATTCTCCGCATGCAAATTTTTTAAAGGCTTAGCAACCTACGTCAAGCAGCTACCGAGTACAAAGGTTGTAACTAGAAGAGATAATTGTTTGTTTTACTTCTTTAGTTACTGTTGTATGTTTTAGAAAAAATAACTTTAAGAACTTATTTCAAAATAGCAATAATCTATATACATATATAATGTATAATAATTGAAATGTGACTGTATTTTACAAAATACTAGTCAACTAAAACACGGCCAAGACAAGTTACTTTGTACAGACCAAAGATCACCGATATGTTATTTGATATGGTAATATGAGTGCACGGGTGAAAGGTCAATATAAAAAAAATAATAAATATATATAAGTGTATAATGTTATGAGTTTCTAATTCGTAAGAAACTATAGACTTAGTATTTTGACTTCACAAAAACTTAATTTGAACCAGTGCTGCATTCAACATGCCATGTGGCACACAAAAATTGAGTGATGTATAGTACTAAAATTCGATTATAATCTACAGTTTGATACCAAAGTTATTGACATAAATTCATGAAATAGTAGTTCAATAAAATTATGAATGTTAGTCAACTAACGAGATGACACGGCCTTTCACCTGTGACCCGTATAAAAAGGGTTAAGGGAAGGATTAATAAATATTTAAATTACCAGGATTGAATTTTATTTTATATTCAGGGACTTGGACAGCCTCAAGGGATCAACAGGTCCTTGTTTCTCTTAAATGTAATGCTAAGTAAATATTTTGTTTATCTTTAAGTGACAACTATTGTTAAGGCTAAAATTCAAGGTACTAGTTTAAAATCTTAACCAAAATACCTATGATCAACATTTAAAATCTTTATTCTGAGACAACCTTCAAGTGTCTCAAAAACAGAAAACACTGTACATGCTTCGATGTTAATCATGCCATACTCAGGAGCATGAAATACAAGATGCAGTTTACACTTTACACTTTAAAGAATTGGTCATGTAACCCTCATTACTATATTATTTACATACAACAGAACCTCAAGTAAGTCACATCATCTGTAGACTTTCTGATAACAGTTTTCTCCCACAGAATAATATAACCAATAAGATTTACACATTTGGCTAATGAAGAATTTTCAATTTTATTATTTGAACATTTCTCTTGTATTCATTTACTAGTGAAAGTACCTGGCTTTGCTTGGGTTATCAGGTGGATATATTCTAGATGGCTATACACAGTGTATGTGTGTGTATTCTGAACCTAATTTAGCATTCCGCATGTGAGTATTGTCTTCGTCTTGGAGCATTTTTTTGTCTATGCAAATGAATCGCAGCCTTTCTGTTTCAGTTTTGGCATAATTGCAATTTGCCCATTATATATTTAGTTCTGGGGATGCAAGGGAGCCATGAAACCTTATGTGTAGTGAATGTTAGTGTGATTTAAATAAATTAATAAATAAGCCTAAAGTAAAGACATAGTATGAGACAACCTAGCCTAGAGCCAAGTGAATACAAATTTATCATGGAAGTAAAAATATCGATCCAATTTTAAACTCAAATCATTTCTGAATTAAGGTATTTTCTGTTATATCACCAACATTTTTATTAAAAACAAACTTCTTAAATCAATGGAGACTAAATTAAGAAATCAATAAACATTCTTCCAGTTTTGTTGTTCATACATTTCATTTTATAATTTCAGTACATAGCTAACAACAATATTAGGCTATACTTTTGTTGCTAATCAACATGGCATAAAAGCTACTGTTGGAATGCATTGTTACCAAAATGCACTGGCTTTTACTTATATTAGATGTTGTAAATCTAAATGATTTTTCTCAATAATTATTTTATGAATATGGGCTATAGTGAGGTGGTTGTACTTGCCCCATCATTTTGACAGGTTATACATCTATAATACAAGAGCATGACTGTCTGTGATTTCTATTTGTAATATAAAGAACCACATCTTTTCTAGGATATACTATGGGGTGGTAGTACTTGCCTTGTCATTTATGATGGTTTGTAGTGGAGTGGTTGTACTTGCCTCATCATTTTTGATGGGTTAGATGTCTATAATTAAAGAGTATGTCTGTCTGTCTATGATTTATATTAGTAATATAAGGAAACACCTTAGATATCTTTTAGTTTGAACAATGTCTACACAATTACATTCACATTCAATTTTGTAAATACCCATTTTTAGTTTCCCATTACATTAATTACAACTTCACTTCTATTTGACTAATTTTATTTATAGGTAAGTAAATCAGGAAACATTTTGTTTTTTGAATTTCTGAAAGATTTGACCTGATAGACTTGGAACATACAGAAAAAATAACATTTCCATTTTATTTATTTTGTCAAACATTGATTATATAGCTTACATAAGTATACTAAATCTTCTAACAGCTTTATAAACAACATTAGGTGAAGAAACTATCTACTGTTACATATTTAATTAACAGTAATTCATTTTTTAAATTCTCATTCAGAACATAACCTCGAGGACCTACACACACACACACATGAACAGAAAGTTTACATTTTTTGTGATTCTGTGTGACAAGATTCTTGGTGTGGAAGCATGTTATCAGAAAACAGTTTGCAGCAAACAAAAGATTCTAAGTTATCTTTATTTGATAAATCACTCAAGCCATCGAAACAGTGTTCTGTTGCTAGTAGTAAAGCTAATAAAATTTAGGGCATATCTAGAGATATTAATTATAAGCCAAAATGAGGTAAACACTTATCTGTAAACAAATCACTAGTTAGTCCTTATTTAGATTGTGTAGTTTTGCTCTTGTTGTCTGAAAAAGGACACTTGTCTTATTGGAAAGTGTTCAGAGAAAGGCATCTAGAATAATTCTGCGAATGGAAAATTATTTTATGTGAATAGGTTAAGACAGGCCTTGACAAATCTTGGATGCTAGGTCACCATGGCAACAAAAAATTCATTGTGACACCTATTATTTTCTCCCATTTTATTTATGTGTAGGGCTGTAGCTAAATTGAACTCGATTCTAGAACAGTTCTGGACTCTTGGAAGTCTGGAACTATTTTCATTTTCTTTGAGTCCCAAATCAAACTGTTTCTAGGATTTTAATGGCAGATTCACTGCTTCTTCATGTTTTTTTCAGGGATGAAGCACTGCAGTTGTGCAACATGTTGTTAATTTCATGCCATTTTCCCAAAAACGCAGGAGCCAAGTGTGCCTAACCAAACTTCACTATTGTTTATACTGGGAAATTGGGGTTGAAGTAACTACCTTTGGTCCCGTCTATGCACACGGATTGGTTGAATTAAAAGAAAGAAGAAAAATTATTTTCAGATCTAGGAGCCAGTTTGTCAAGGCCTGGGTTAAGATCTCTCTCTTGAGAAAAGATGGATAAGAGCAGGCCTCAAACACAACATTTGAAGACACTAGGAAACAATTGCTAATTTTTTTCCCCCATTAGCAACAACATTATTATTTTCTAAAATTAACTGTAGAAAATGTTAGTAAACACACATATATCCTAGTTATATAAATAAATCTACTGTGTCAGGTTTTCTTTTCAAATACTAGCACTCATTTTAATTACATGTAGCAATGTTTTATTATAACTATTATATAAAAGTTACAAAATGTATGATTTGAGCAGAAACTGGTATATCTAGTATACGAATGTCTGGATCAACAAAACCTACAGTACTTCCTGCTGATGGCCACCCTATACTGAAAAAACAATACAGTATCTTATTATTAAAAGTTATGTTTATATGGTGAAAGACAGTAAAACATTAGAAGCCAAGAGGTTTAATATTTATGTTAATCATGGAAAAATCAAGAGGAACACAAGAAAATAAAATCTGCAGCTTACATCACATCTTTCTGATTATTACCTCCAATTAGCAAACCACTTAGACACAGTATTTTTAACCACACTGCCACCAAACTTTTATTATAGAGGCCGGGTGGTATGAGTCTAGCTGGCTGATCCATGTGCTACTTGCTTTGGCAAATAGTCTGACAAGTTTAAATGGAGGTTTTGTTATCCTCACATCCTTATACTTATTCTGTTTATGTCATTCACCTCAAATTCCTCTATTTATTTTATATTCTTCAAATACAATAAGGGTAAGCAGAATGTGAATATAGAAATGGGGCCTTTGAGGGATGACACAGGAAGGCTAACATCTGATTATTATGGAATGGCTGGGTTATTGAATTATACATTTTGTTCCCTTTTTACCGATGAAGATTTAAGCAATATTCCTCATCTTGAACAGTTACAAGATTTGAACAAGATGATCACATTAATTCTGAGCTAATTAAAAAAAAATTTGGAAGTTTAAAGAATGATAAAGCTCCTAGGCCTGATAATATTTGCACGAGGGTTTTGAAAAATGTCAAGGACTGGATATGTGAGCCACTTGCTACTACTTTTTCTAAGTCCTTGGCAAGTGCGAGGAGACTGAAGTTGGCTATTGCTACTCCTCTTTTCAAGGGAGATTATAAATACTGTTTCAGTAATTATGGTGCTATTAGTCTTACATCAGTAGTGGGAAAAGTTTTGAAAGTCTAACAAAAGATGCTTTGCACAGTCATTGAACAAAGTATTAAATTTTATGGGATAGTCAGCATAGCTTCCCTAGGGGAAAATCTTGCTTTACTAATATTTTGACATTCTTTAAAGAGGTTACTGTTTATGTAGATCTGATGACATTAAAATTTTGAGTGTTGCTAGCTGTGAGGAGGATTGCTGCTTTACAAAAGAATTTGGATTATTTGGTGAGTTGAGTGAATAAATAGGAGATGGATGCGAGATATCAAATTTGAATTACAAGAATAATTTTGATGGGGATAACTTGAAAAGTGCTATGGAAGAAAAGGATCATGGTATTCAGTTCATCAGTCTCTTAAGTCATTCAAGCAACGTCCTGTTGTTAGTAGCAGGGGAAATAGGGTTTTATGTTGTATCTACAGAAATATTGAATAAAATTCTAAAGAGGTTATAATTCATTTTATATGTCATTGGTTAGAGTACTGTGTTCAGTTTTGGTCTCATTAACTTAGAAAGAACATTGAAATGTTGGAAAGGGTTTAAAGAAGGGGTATTAGAGTGATACCTGGGATGAAAAGTTTGTCATATGAGGATAGGTTAAAATCTCTGAACTTGTTTTCTCTTGGAAAAAGAAGAGTTAGAGGAGATCAGATTGAAATGTTTAAGATTGTTAAGGGAATTGATTATGTTGATGCCTATCTTTTTTAATATTTTATGGTGAGAGTGGTAAGATTTGGGAACACAAGTATAAATTTTGGCAGGGTAAAAGCCACCTTCAGCTAAGACGTCTTTATTTCTCTAGCACTGCAGGGTGGTTGGCCTTTGGAATTAGATGTAGTAAATGCAGTTAACTTAAAGGAATTTCAGGAAAGCTTGATAAATATTTGAATGATAAGGGTTGGGTTTGAGATTTTTAGAGGTTAGTTTAACTTAGTGGATAAGATGCCTTAGATGGACCAAAGAGCCCCTTGTTATCTTTAATGTTATATTTATGAGGGATACACATACTTGTTCCAAGTTTTTAAAATGCAATGCAAATAACATTTGAATAACAAGAATGCTGTTAATTTTAATATAAGAAGAAAAGAGAATTTTAAAATTATGCTAGCCTCAGTAAGGTTGCTCTTTACAACACCTACACTGTAAATACAATGGACATATTGAAAAATTTGACTTGGAATACTTCTTAATTTTAAATAATTAAATATTTTTGTATTGTAATTTGTGTATATATTATAAATTTCCAAAAAGTGTTTAGGATTACTCCTGTGTTCAGATAATGGTAAAACAAATTCTGGTAATCTAGGTATCAAAACAGTCAGCACAAAAGAACATCCTCCTATTTCCAATATCGTGGAAAGATTTATAAATATCTATTGAATCTGCATGAGGCTCTCTTTGCCACCCGAGTGTATGACCTAGGTTCATCAAATGAGGAAAACATTGATGTTACTGGCAACTAAAATTTTGTTAATCACAATCTTGCAGTATAAATGACTGAAATGTAGTTATAACACACATATTGATAATTGACACTGACAGTACGAATCTGCAAATCTTCCTTCGGAAATATGTACATGCACTTTATATTGTAGAAATGATCTTACTGAACTAAAAACATTACCTGCGATTAAGGTCTCCTAAACTAAAGATTTCTTTAAACAGTATTCTAAAGTGAATGGTATGAGAGCGCACAAGCTTAAGATTTGAAAAAAATACAGGCTATGTTCCGGAAGGCTAAGACTGAGAGTTAATTTTTCTTTTCTAATAGAGTACTTAAGTTTTAAAATAATGAATTGCTGTTAGCAGTAGTGAAGGCCAACACTTTACAAGAGTTTAAAAAGAAGAATCTACAATTTCCTGAAAATTAAGGATGAATTTAGGTTTAACATTTTACTTTTCTCAAGGGTGGGTGTGCAGGGAGAACTTTGAAATTGAAGGCCAAACGGTCCTTTGAGATTTGTTGATGCGTCTTCTTAAAAGTTAAATTTAAAACAACTTAGTTTTAATTTTATTTGGATTACAGTTTTAGTTTTACAGCGATGGTGACAATGAAACACTAAATTTCTCTCGGACTGCTTTATCATTCCTTATCTCCATAGGTTATACTTGAAATGAAGTTGAAAATTGAATGGCTTTACCTAACATTACATATTGTTATTTTCTAAGATAAAATAGAACGATACCATAGTATATAGTATCAATATCAAATTACATGTTCATCGTTAGGCCTAAATTTAGGGTTAGACCTAATCACCCACAACTAGTTAGAATTTCTAATAGAAATTAGAAACTGTATTTACCTCCACTGTCTTTGTTCCATTTTTCTTATTCGCCAATTTTGTTTGAGCTATTTGTTTCTTAGTTTTCATTATCATGATAATAAAAATAAATCGATTTGTAGCCTTTAAAATAAAACTTAAAAAGTAAAACCCCGACTTTTCTTTATCTGGCCACACGCTTCTTCCTTACCACGTGCGTATCAAGAGTAATTAGTTAACGATAATTTCGGAGTACAAAGAATTGACGTTAGGCGAAAAGTAAATTTAAGACTTATTAAAGTTATTTATGGATATTTACATTATTATTTTTCAAGATCTTCGAACGATATATTGATATACTCATATATTTTAAAATATCTTTATTTGCAAAAAATTCATGTAAGAAAAAAATCTGAAATAATTAAATATATATATATATAATAAAATAATTTACACTTGCTATATAAGTCAAATATGTAAAAATAGGGGTACTAACTCACTCCCGGTTCCGACGCCTCTATTCAAGCTTATGATTATGATGACTCTATGAATTCGATATTATTTTGTTAAAGTCAGATAACAAAAAAGGTAACTCAGAGTCGTAACTAAAAAGTAAAACATTATAGTGACTAGTCAGTTATTCTAAGTAAGGTGTCAGTGCTTTCTTTTTGGGTGCGATATATACTTATGGACAAGTTATTTAATAGTCAAGCAAAATAAATTTATTCGTGCAAGTGAACCTAGTTTAAACATAGGTTAACATATTAAAAACTAGATGTACTTCCGCAGGGTCCCCAAAAGTGTTCTGTTTTAAAAGTAAATAATATCAAAATTAAGGGTAACAAATATTTGTATTTCTTGCTTTTGAAGTTCATATGCCATGCTGTGTTGTAGCAAACGAAGTGCATAATCCTTTTCGTAATTCATGGCATGCGCACGTTTTATGATGGCACGACGGTACAAAGTGCAACGTTAAGCGTCCCTTATTTGATAACTTACTGACTGATTGACAATGAGACGCAACACTACTGTATAGTGGTGCGAGTGGTTAAAACAGGTGATCCCCCAGGCAGTCTTCGGTCCTCTTTCGAGGAAGTAGCAAGATTGCACTAGTTTTTAATGCCGTAATAATAATGCAACACTTATTTATATGCACATTATTCACAAAAATATGTTTATTAGTATAGTTCTAGCATATTTAAGAAAGTAATAGAAGGTGTTTTCTTGAAGTTATATGATAAAGTGTCATATATTTGTAATTAGATTTTTTAAAACTCTTTAACTAAAAGTCCTCAACTTTGGGTTTCAGTATTAAACAACATAGGAGATGTACATACTACAGAAGTTGAATCTGTTATATTAAAAAGCTTTTCGAGCCTCATCAAATCGTTACAGTCGTCATGTTCTAACAACCATGTATCTTGGCAACAGCCCTACGGCGTAGTTTCCACTGCAAAAAGCTCCTTCATAAGGCTTTCATGAACAAAAAGCACCACTCTTCCCTTCATGCTTTCTAAAATCCGTTTAATCTACAAGGACGGTGGTTTTCAGCACCTGTTTCAACAATCATCGCACAGAAATTCATAGGTTCAATATCAGGTGACATGACTAGCATGTCTTCATATGGATTAGTATGAACACCCATTTCATTTTTCAGATGCTTGAAGTATGTGATGGTTGAGCAAATACATTGTGAAAGCAGTTTGTGTATATGTGATTTGTGTCACTTTTTCACACACAGATCCTTCTTGATTATGTCACTACTGTTGACTTGTACCACGTACGCGGACGGCTTTTCACACTGACCTTTGCGTTGGTGCATTCTCACTTGTTACAAGACGTCGCACTTTGCTTATCACGGCTGGGATATGACTTGTTACAGGTCTTTGTTTAGATTATCCTAGCGCCCTAAGTTGATCCTTATTCCTTTGTTTTCCAATGTTATGATATGGGTGTATGAATATTTTGCGTCGAAAAGGTCTGTTAAATACCTTCCAAAAAGCGATAAATTTTTGGTGGCATCTTTCTAATTAAGTCACACAATGTCAACACATAGTTTTGCTACAAGCGTTTTAAAGTACCAAGCAGGTTTACATTATATTATTTGAGCATTGTAAGATATTCCACAGACTTATATAATTTCAAGTGTCCAGTTTCTTCTTTTCTAAACTTTAATTATAAGCTTAGCTATTTTCCTAAATTTCTTGTGCATTGTATATAAAACATTTTGTTTTTGTTTAGTTTTTTGTTATGAAGCACAAGGCTGTGCAATAGGCTATTTGTGCTGTTCCCACTGTGAGAACTGAAAACAGATTTTTAGTGTTTTAAGCTCTCAGACTTACTGCTGATCCATGGGTGGGACAGAACATCTTGTAAAAGATACGCTTAACTTTACAAATTAATATGGGAGAATCAGATTAAAATACACTAATTTATGATTCTATGTGACCAAACTTGGTTGCCAAGTTTATGACACTTCTTTTCTAAATTATTTATTCATTATATTTTAAAACTTTAAAAAATTAATTTTCATAAAAGGCTGTTTCATAATAATATATTCTAAGTTTTGCTTTAAATTTCATTAGTAACTGTAACAAAAATATATATTTGTACTTTTGGATTGTTAAACGAATATTAAACTATGTTTGGTCGTTATGAAGCATAAAGCTTATAATGGGCTCTCTGTGTTGTGCCCACAACGATTATTGAAACCTAGTTTTTAGCCTTATAAGTTTCTAGACTCTTAATGCTGAGCAACTGGGGTAAATATCAAGGAACTTCTTATTAACTTATAGTTCCTAGTCTAGCTGTCAGTTTGCCATACTACAATAACACAACAACTTAATGAATAGTAACTAATTAAATATGAAGATCTAGTTATTTATTTCCATGTTTCTTGTCACAAACTCATGTGTAATATTTATAAAATCATTCTCTAGTGGGTCAGCGATAAGTGTATTGACTTAATGCTAAAATCTGGGGTTTGATTTCCCGTGATGGATAGAGCGCAGATAGCCTATTATCTAATTTTCCTCTAAAGTAAACAATAACAACAATAATATAAATATGACCTTAAATGTTAACTAAAGAAAGTGAAATATTGTTTAAAGGCAGTGAATAACATCATAAAATACTGATGTTTGTAAAATTCTCATCAGTTACAATATCTTTTCTTAAATATGTTGAATTTTACACCATGAGCAAAAACAATTTAGCTCATTGATTCCCAAAGTATCTTTGCTTCGCTACTCGAACTGTTTTTGCAGAGAACACTTGTTAGTGAGCAGTGGCGTCATCTCGTGTTGCTAAATGAAAGCTCAACAACATTTGTTAATTAACTATATTGATGCACAATTCCTTTGTTATGTAAATGCATGAAAATAACTAACCTTAAAAATTTGCCAAATACACATATTAGTATTCAAAGCTGATCCTGACACATTTTGAGGCGAAAGTAGAAGTCAAGTTTGGAACTTGGAGAAATGTAGGACAATTCCAAATCATTATACTAACCATGTTTACGAAATTTTAGCTCTTTTCTAAATACATATTATAATAGTAACATGAAAAATCATAAAATAAAGCGACACTAGCTTTGGCCTTGAGTAACACTTTATTCTAATAGAAGGTTTTTTGTTCATCTTTTCAGAATCTGGCCATCGTGATAAAAAGAATACAAAAGCTGAGTTTAAAAATGATTTCGGACAGTTTATGGAGAAGATAAAAAATTATAATGATAGAAAACAAACAACAACAACAACAACAACAAACAAAAAAAAAAAAACCCATAAAACTGATGGTAAGTTCTTTGGATGTTCAAACTCTTAAACAAGAATATTTTTCCTAATGAGGTTTTATCCGAACAGTTCGGATCGGATGTGGCTCAGAGGACAGTGTGCTGAGCTACAGACTGAAAGATTCAAGACTTGAACCACAATAAAACACTAAACGCGCTGCGAATTTTCACCTGTAGAAGAGTTATAATAGTGACAGTCAATCTTGCTATTTGCTTACGTATAATTGTGTATGCGGCAGGTGCTGCTGACTGAGTGTCCTTTCTCTGTGCAGCAATCTAGGTTAGTAATAGTTGTACTTGAGCTTCAGGTCTCTGATCTGATTGTTTCCATTTAGGTTGAGAATACCAAATGTCAAACAACGAGAGCTTCTGAAAGATTTTTATAGTACAACGTCCTTATAGATTTCTTTTAAATAATTGTTTAACGTCTTTCAAAACATTCGGTTTAAACGCCGACTATATATCTAAAATTTTGTGATAAAATTCATGCTAGCTACAGATTTTTTTTTCTTTCTAAAATGCTATTTTTTACATACCTTTGATTTTGAATCCGCAGTCAACAACTTCAGAGAAATGTGAAAAAATAATAACACCTGCAGTTCACGTGATTTTTATCATAATGTTTTAGGCCTATTGGTCTTTTAAAATCCATGAAGTATTAATTATGTACATCGGAGACTTCTCTCTCTCTCTCTATATATATATATATATATTGCATTCCTACTTCGTCATATAACTTATTTATGGTAAAATAGACAAATATATTAATGCTTAGAAAATGTTTTGCCATCTGTTGCACACAATTATAATTAATCTTGGAATAAAATAATTATTTAAATTTGTTTAAGAAATACCTAATCTAGAAATAAAATAATTTATAAGCCTCTTGAGGTAATGCATTATTTTCCCATAAATACATCTGATTGTAACTGATAAATGTTGATATTTTCTATAAAACATATCACGCTGGACTCCTAGTGATCAGTTAATGTGTTATTTCTTAAATCATCCTCGTTGTATTAAAGAATAATCCTTCAGCAACTTATACGGATATGATTTTTTATGGCACAAATATAGACATTAATAGATAGTTCACAATTTTATAGTTTAATAAATTATTTGTTAAGTGTCTTTAATGTACCCTAAAATCAACTGCCAACTAATTAATCGGCCCGGCATCGCCAGGTGGTTAAAGAGCTCGACTCGCAGTTTGCGGGTCGCGGGTTCGAATCCTAGTCCTACCAAACATGCTCGCCCTTTCAACCGTGGGGGCGTTATAAAGAGTTGGCGGTGGTTGGTGATGACTAGCTGCCTTCCCTCTAGTCTTACACTGCTAAATTAGGGACGGCTAGCGCAGATAGCCCTCGTGTAGCTTTGCGCGAAATTCAAAACAAACTAATTAATCATTTTTCTTCAAAACACTGGCTACCATTTTTATT